TACACATAGCAATTAAAAGGCCCCCCCATTTACATTTACCCCGGGCCCCAAATTTACCTCTACTCCCCCCCTAACTTTTTTTACCCCTTTAGCTTTAAAATCCCCAACCACCATTACTTTTCACACTTGATTCAAACTCCCCAGCTTTCACTCAACATTTCCAAAAAAAATTCTCTTCCCTCTACACTTTCTTTCTCCCGTGCATACCGCTTATTATAACCACTTTCACATCCAAACTTTTTTTACTCCAATAATCCTTTTAATTTTTACATTTATAGTCCTCTTTTCTTCCATAGTTATCCTTCAACTTTTGCTATCCTTTTTTAGCTCTAACTCTATTTTTAAAAACCCTGACCTAAACCCATTTATTCTCCCACTGAAACTCTCCCACCCCCTTTATTTGTTTAAATTTTTAAAACCAGGACATCCAGCTTTTTCATTATAAATCCAATCATTTTTTCTTATCTCTGCACAACATCCCCCGCAATTCAGACTTCCACTTTGACAATTTTCTTTTCTTATTCTTTTTAGTAATCTTTACAGGAAAAAGGGGGGTTTACTACCCCATTTTTCCCCGGGGCATTTTTTTGATTTTAAAACACGCAGGGCTTATGGAGGAAAGATTCTTATTCCATTCCCCAGGGATTTTAAAGGAAAAATTTAATAAAACCAAGAACTTTTAAGATAAAAAAAAGAAAACTCAGATGGTGTGTATAAATAATGGTAATGTTGTGTAGTGGGACCTAAGGTGTAAGTAGAAGTAGCAAGACTTGCCTGTAATCTTGCATATTTATGAGACGACAAAAGACATCAGCAATCCTACCATCATGTAAAACAATCACAGTTTCCCGTTTTAAAACATAACTTGGCAGGACGGTAGTATCCTGGGTGGTTGCTGTCTACCCAACCTACTTCTATTGATTTTATCATCATTATTTAATAAATGTATGGAAGAGGGAAAAGGGGTACCTAGGATTGGCAGAGAGCATGCTTGTTCCTTTGTATAAAAGGCAAAGGGGATAAAAGAGAGTGCAAAAATTATAGGGATAAGTCTGTTGAGTATACCTGGTAAAGTGTAATGGTAGAGTTAAAAATTGAAAAGAATTAAGAGTAAGACGGAAAAATAGGATAGCAGATGAACAAGGAGGCTTTAGGAAAGGTAGGGGGTGTGTGGAACCGGGTGTTTACAGTGAAACATATAAGTGAACAGTATTTAGATAAGGCTAAAGAGGTTTTTGTGGCATTTATGGTTTTGGGAAAAAGGGCGTATGACGGGGTGGATAGGGGGGCAATGTGGCAGATGTTGCAAGTGTTTTTTGTGTAGGAGGTAGGTTACTGAAAGCAGTGAAGAGTTTTACGAGGATAGTGAGCTCAAGTTAGAGTATGTAGGAAAGAGGGAAATTTTTTCCCAGTAAAAGTAGGCTTTAGACAAGGATGTGTGATGTCACCGTGGTTTTTTAATATATTTATAGATGGGGTTGTAAGAGAAGTAAATGCAGGGTCTTGGCAAGAGGCCCGTGGAGTTAAAAGATAAAGAATCACACACAAAGTGGGAGTTGTCACAGCTGCTCTTTGCTGATGACACGTGCTCTTGGAAGATTCTGAAGAGAAGTTGCAGAGATTGGGGGATGAATTGGTAGGGTGTGCAAAAAAAGAAAATTTAAGGTGAATACAGGAAAGAGTAAGGTTATGAGGATAACAAAAAGATTAGGTGATGAAAGATTGAATATCAGATTGGAGGGAGAGAGTATGGAGGAGGTGAATGTATTCAGATATTTGGGAGTGGACGTGTCAGCAGATGGGTCTATGAAAGATGAGGTGAATCATAGAATTGATGAGGGAAAAAGAGTGAGTGGTGCACTTAGGAGTCTGTGGAGACAAAGAACTTTGTCCTTGGAGGGGAATGTATGAGAGTATAGTTTTACCAACGCTCTTATATGGGTGTGAAGCATGGGTGATGAATGTTGCAGCGAGGAGAAGGCTGGAGGCAGTGGAGATGTCATGTCTGAGGGCAATGTGTGGTGTGAATATAATGCAGAGAATTCATAGTTGGAAGTTAGGAGGAGGTGCGGGATTACCAAAATGTTGTCCACAGGGCTGAGGAAGGGTTGTTGAGGTGGTTCAGACATGTAGAGAGAATGGAGCGAAACAGAATGACTTCAAGAGTGTATCAGTCTGTAGTGGAAGGAAGGCGGGGTAGGGTCAGCCTAGGAAAGGTTGGAGGAGGGGGTAAAGGAGGTTTTGTGTGCGAGGGCTTGGACTTCCAGCAGGCATGCTGTGAGCGTGTTTGATAGGAGTGAATGGAGACAAATGGTTTTTAATACTTTACGTGCTGTTGGAGTGTGAGCAAGTAACATTTATGAAGGGATTCAGGGAAACCGGCAGGCCGGACTTGAGTCCTGGAGATGGGAAGTACAGTGCCTGCACTCTGAAGGAGGGGTGTTAATGTTGCAGTTTAAAAACTGTAGTGTAAAGCACCCTTCTGGCAAGACAGTGATGGAGTGAATGATGGTGAAAAGTTTTCTTTTTCGGGCCACCCTGCCTTGGTGGGAATCGGCCAGTGTGATAATAAAAAAAAAAATCTTCAAGACTAATAACACACTTAGTGATTTTAATGTGTTCCTGCACACCAGCAAAGGCGGAAGTTTCGGAATTTAAAGAGTTAAGTTCAGTGACAAAGTGTAGCATTAGTGTAGCAAATTAAGCGATAGAAAAAAGGACAAAAGAAAAAACTCTGGGCAGCATAAGGGCCGCTCTGCCTATCTTCTGCAAGGTTTTGTGAATAAGTGGGACGTACACCAGTTCATTTGTACATTATGGTTTTCTTATAAAAGAAGTTATCTAATGCAGTTTCCCCTCACAAACTCCTTTTTCCCCTCTTACATAACACATTGAAGGGAAGGAAAGAATGGGAAAGGATTTTTTTTCCATAGCTGGAGCAAGCGCTTCCCCCCACGCCCCCCAACATACGTGATGACATACAAAATTTTTATTCATTCTAGAGGGTAAAAACAGGATTTTGTTTTTTATATTGTTATGTCATTTAGATGAATTGTGATAGATAAATAACCCAAATAGAGATAAAACAAAAGCATAAATTTGAAGTACAGTGGCCCCCCCCGGCATACCCGTTTAATTTATTTTTTTCCGCAACCGCTCACTTTAATGGGAAAAAATTTTTTTCCCCTTTCGCAAAAAACCGTAAAAAAACCCCGTAAACCGGGCCCTTTTCCCGCCCCGAGATGCGTCCAATGTGCCCCTTTAAAAGGCCAAAGCCTCCATGTTCCCCCCAGGGGCATTGTTTAACCCACCCAGCCCCCGGCGGTACCCAAAACCAACTTTACAATCGTAACATTTCGTATTATTACAGTGTTTTTTTGGGATTTTATCTGGAAAATAAGTGGGCCATGGGGGCCCCCAAAAAAGCTTCTAGTGCCAACCCTACAAACCCAAAAAGGGGGGGGAATTTTTTATAGAGATGAAGAAAAAGATTTATTGATAAGTATGAAAGTGGAAATGCGTGTCCCCCGGGCGGCCCCGGTTGTCTAATGAACCCCCAAACAAAACCCTCGCTACTAGGTGGAAAAGCGCTGTTGTGCTGCACTGTCGCCCGCTGCTGCTGCTTTTCCCGGGGTGTAGCTTTGGGCTGCTGGGTGGGTGGGAGCATCGTCTGCTGCTGCTGTATCCCTTTGTTGCTGGTGCTGTTGCATCGTCTGCTGCTTTCTGTAGCCTGTCAGCTGCTGTGCTGCTGCTGTAGCATCGTCTGTGCTGCTTTAAACACTGGTTTTTTTGGTGTGGCTTATGAGAATATTCCAAAAAAACAATTAACCCCAGAGGATTTTCCCCCCCCAGGATTAAACCCCCCAAAAAATCAGTGTCCCTCGGGGGGGGTGTCTAACTTATTTCCATTGGGTCCTTAATCTTTTCCCCCCAGGAAGCAAAAACCCCCACCAGTCGGAAACCCAAAAACCCCCGGTGGGAAAAGGGAAAATGCCTGGAACTAGTGCTCATATTGGTGAATTTAAAAGCCAGCAAAGGTTGGTTTGAGAGATTTAAGAATCGTAGTGACATAACACAGTGTGATAAGGCCTGTTCTGGAAGAAAATGCCAAACAGGACCTACAGTACTCAGGGAGGAAAAGGCACTCCCAGGACACAGTGTCTCATCAGTCATTGCTGCATCTTCAATAAAGGTAAGTGTCATTTATTCTTCATTTAGTAGACTAGTACATGCACAATATATACTGTGCATGTACTACTCTACTATTGTGCATGTATCCTTCTCTTTGTGTGTAGGAAAATGTATATTTCATGTGGTAAAAAAATTTTTTTCATACTTTTGGGTGTCTTGCACGGATTAATTTGATTTCCATTATTTCTTATGGGGAAAAATTCATTCGCATAACCGATATTTTTTTCGCATACCAATGAGCCCTCTTGCACGGATTAAAATCGGTATGCGGGGGTCCACTGTACTATTTTGTCATGCCTCCTGACAGCAGGAACGGGTTAATTGGATTTACATTATTTCTTATGGGAAATATGGCTTCAACTTTAGGACGTTCTAGCTCCTGGAACGGATTAAGGACGAAACTCGGGGTTCCACTGTATTTATGTGTACCTGTGAGATACACACAGACAGAGACAGAGAGAAGGAGATAGAGACAGCCAAAGCAAATCAGCCAGCCAGCCAGCTGGCCACCCAACCAGCCTGCCTGCCGAATATGTATTACACATGTTCCAGAATTGTTTCTCTTTAATTAGGACATACGTTATAGAACATTCTGGCAGGATAACATTACCAGTGGTATCAAAATTGAAAGGATGTTACACACTGGTTATTATTGAGGGTTTTGATATTTCATCAGTATCTCCTGCGATGTTGTAACTTACAACCTCTTCTTATAACTCAACTGCCATACCACTCAATTGTGAAGAACTTTCTAATACATATCTTTTTTTCATATGTGAAAAAGACTCCACACTAAAAATAAAACTTACCAAGAGGTAAGTAGACAGCAGTGAAAATCAGTGGCCAGAAGAGTCTATCAACAGATACCAACACCCACAACTTGCGCAGCCAAGTGTTGATGATCTTCCATCGAGGACGAGGACGAAACATGCGGTGCTCTGAAAAACGAGGCAGATGGCTTTAGTGGCCAGTCTGATACAACAACTTATTTGTAAACATGAAAGAGCTAAATAATTCAAATGAATGCAATTGTTAAAAATACAAGCTGATAAGATTATTTTTCATTTTCCACTAAATCAAATAAACTAAAGTGAAATTATACCATACCTAGTACCAGATGATGAATGTAGCGCATGACACACAGTGGAATTACACAGATGCACACCATAATGCCGAACAGGAACTGGAACTGAAAACAAATTTACATCAGTTGTAATTAACACAAACTTGGCACATTTATAAATACAGTGGCACCCTGAGTTTCATACATAATTAATTCCAAAAGGCTCTTCAAGTGCCGTTACCGAACGAATTTGTTCCCATGAGGAATAATGTAAATTAGATTAGTCCATTTCAGACCCCCAAAAATACACTTACAAGAGCACTTACAATAATACACTTACATAACTGTTCGAGCTGGGAGCTGTACGAAACTCGGGGTACCACTGTACACTACTGTATACAAAACACTATACAGCCTCTTCTCACTTAATGACGGAGTTCCGTTCCTAGGACCACGTTGGTGAACGAATGCGTCATGAAGTGAGGAGCATACTATAATGGTGGTGGGTTTGTGTCAACCATCTTTGATATTGTTTTAATATCACCTCTGCACAATTTATAACATTTCTGGTACATTTTTAAATATTTACACAATAGTGTACCCTAAACTGTATTAAACAGATTAGAGGAAATCAGCTCTAATATGCATTACCTAGGCATGCATACAGGTCAGAGAGCCCATCCTAAGTCCAAGTCATTGGTAAACAAGTACATCACTCAGTGAGGAAAGGCTGTATTACATACTAAAGCAAGTGTGTGCTGTGCTTCCTCAGGATTTTCTTTTCAAAACTCAGCTTCCTAATTTTTACTATAGGTATAAAACCTTCAAATGGTTACCAAGAGCCTGTTTGATAGTGACTGTTTGTTAGTATGTACTCACCTAATTCTCACCTAATTGTGGTTTTAGGGGTCAAGTCATTGCTCCAGGCCTGTTAGTAGATGCCTGTTTGTTAGTAAGTGCCTGCTTGTTAGCAAGTGCCTGTTTTTAAGTTAGTAGGTTCCTGTTTGTTAATAAGTACCTGTTTGTTGGTAAGTGCCTCATTGCCCAAACCTCTCACATCATAAAAATCTTCAAAAGAGTGATGAGATGGCAGGTTACAAATTTCATGGACCAGCACAACCAAAATAACCCGAACCAGCATGGTTTTAGAGCAGGACGATCATGTCTGTCACAGCTGCTGAACCATTATGACAGAATTACGGAGGCACTGAAAGATGACAAAAATGCAGATGTGATTTACACAGATTTTGCAAAGGCATTTGAGAAATGCGATCATGGATGATAGCTCACAAAATGAAGGCCATGGGCATTACGGGGAAGTTAGGCAGATGGATTTTCGGTTTCCTAACACACAGAACACAAAAAGTAGTAGTGAACAGGGCAAGATCCAGCATCAGTGAGGTCAAAAGCTCAGTGACCCAAGGCACTGTCCTGGCACCTCTGCTGTTCTTCATCCTCATAGCAGACAGACAAAAACACCCGGCACACTTTTGTATCATCATTTGCAGATGACACTAAAATAAGCATGAAAATCAGTATGGTAGAGGACACTGAAAAAGTACAGGAAGACATAAACAGGGTTTTCCAGTGGGCAGTGGAAAACAACATGATGTTCAATGGTGATAAGTTCCAGCTGCTTAGGTATGGAAAGAATGAAGAACTCAAAAGGAGCACTATATACAAAACTCAAGAGGGTCACCAAATAGAACGTAAGGAACACGTAAAAGACCTAGGAATAATTATGTCAGCGGTTATTAAATGGAGAGTTAGAGGTATTGGGAAGATGGAGGTAATATTTTGAGGAATTGTTAAATGTTGATGAAGATAGGGAAGCTGTGATTTCGTGTATAGGGCAAGGAGGAACAACATCTTGTAGGAGTGAGGAAGAGCCAGTTGTGAGTGTGGGGGAAGTTCGTGAGGCAGTAGGTAAAATGAAAGGGGGTAAGGCAGCCAGGATTGATGGGATAAAGATAGAAATGTTAAAAGCAGGTGGGGATATAGTTTTGGAAAGGGGTTGGTGCAATTATTTAATAAATGTATGGAAGAGGGTAAGGTACCTAGGGATTGGCAGAGAGCATGCATAGCTCCTTTGTATAAGGGGAAAGGGGATAAAAGAGAGTGCAAAAATTATAGGGGGATAAGTCTGTTGATATACCTGGCAAAGTGTATGGTAGAGTTTTTTATTGAAAAAATTAAGAGTAAGACAGAGAATAAGATAGCAGTGAACAAGGAGGCTTTAGGGAAAGGTAAGGGGTTTTGGACAGGTTTTACAGTGAAACATATAAGTGAACAGTATTTAGATAAGGCTAAAGAGGTCTTTGTGGCATTTATGGATTTGGAAAAGGCGTATGACAGGGTGGGTAGGGGGCAATGTGGCAGATGTTGCAGGTGTATGGTGTAGGAGGTAGGTTATGAAAAACAGTGAAGAGTTTTTTAACGAGGATAGTGAGGCCCCAAGTTAGAGTAAGTAGGAAAGAGGGAAATTATTTCCCAGTAAAGTAGGCTTAGACAAGGATGTGTGATGTCACCGTGGTTGTTTAATATATTTATAGATGGGTTGTAAGGAAGTAAATGCAGGGTCTTGGCAAGAGGCGTGGAGTTAAAAGATAAAGAATCACACATAAAGTGGGAGTTGTCACAGTTGCTCTTGCTGTTTACACTGTGCTCTTGGGAGATTCTGAAGAGAAGTTGCAGAGATTGGTGGATGAATTTGGTAGGGTGTGCAAAAGAAGAAAATTGAAAGTGAAAACGGGAAAAGAGTAAGGTTATGAGGATAAAAAAAAAGATTAGGTGATGAAAGATTGGATATCAGATTGGAGGGAAAAGAGTATGGAGGAGGTGAATGTATTCAGATATTTGGGAGTGGACATGTCAGCAGATGGGTCTATGAAAGATGAGGTGAATCATAGAATTGATGAGGGGAAAAGGGTGAGTGGGTGGGGGGACAAAGAACTTTGTCCTTGGGGAAAAAGGGGGGAATGTATGAGAGTTAGTTTTTACCAACGTTTCTATATGGGTGTGAGCATGGTTGATGAATGTTGCAGCGAGGAGAAGGCTGGAGGCAGTGGAGATGTCATGTCTGAGAGCAATGTGTGGTGTGAATATAAAAGCAGAGAAATTCGTAGTTTGGAAGTTAGGAGGAGGTGCGGGATTACCAAAACTGTTGTCCAGAGGCTGAGGAGGTTGTTGAGGTGGTTCGGACATGTGGAGAGAATGGAGCGAAACAGAATAACTTCAAGAGTGTATCAGTCTGTAGTGGAAGGAAGGCGGGGTAGGGGTCGGCCTAGGAAAGGTTGGAGGGAGGGGGTAAAGGAGGTTTTGTGTGCGAGGGGCTTGGACTTCCAGCAGGCATGCGTGAGCGTGTTTGATAGGAGTGAATGGAGACAAATGGTTTTTAATACTTGACGTGCTGTTGGAGTGTAAGCAAAGTAACATTTATGAAGGGGTTCAGGGAAACCGGCAGGCCGGACTTGAGTCCTGGAGATGGGAAGTACAGTGCCTGCACTCTGAAGAAGGGGTGTTAATGTTGCAGTTTAAAAACTGTAGTGTAAAGCACCCTTCTGGCAAGACAGTGGTGGAGTGAATGATGGTGAAAGTTTTTCTTTTTCGGGCCACCCTGCCTTGGTGGGAATCGGCCAGTGTGATAATAAAAAAATAATAAAAAACCTTTCTTTTAAAGACCATAACAAGACAAAGATCACGACAGCTAGGAAGATGACAGGTGGGTATTGAGAACTTTCAAAACAAGGGAAACAATGCCGATGGTGACACTCTTCAAATCGCTAGTGCTCCCTCACTTAGAATATTGCTCAGTGCTGACGGCCCCGTTCAGGGCAGGAGAAATATCGGAGCTGGAACAAATACAGAGATCGTTTACTGCTCACATTGAGCCAGTAAAGCGCCTAAACTACTGGGAACGCCTGCAAGTCTTGAACATGTACTCATTGGAGCAAAGGAGAGAGAGGTACATGATAAAAATTACCGGGAAAGGGTATTTGAGGGTTTTGGCCCCAAATCTGCACACTGCCATATCAACATACTGGAGTGAGAGATATGGGAGGAAGTGTAAAATAAACCCAGTGAGGAGCAGGGGTGTGGTGGGAACAATAAGGGAACACTGTATCAACATCCGGGGTCCCAGACTTTTCAACATCTTACCAGAAGATATCAGAAACACTGCTGTAACAAGTGTTGAAGCCTTCAAGAGAAAACTAGACAAGTATCTTCACCAGGTGCCAGATCAACCAGGCTGTGATGGATATGTGGGGCAACGGGCCTCCAACAGCAACAGCCTGGTTGACCAGGCGAGCACCAGACGAGCCTGGCCCATGGCCGGGCTCAGAGAGTAGACATACTCTCGAAATTCTTCAAAGGTATATAAAAGGTTGTTGGCAAGTGATTATTTGTTAGGAAGTGCCTGTTTGTTAGTAAGTGACTTAATAAATGTTTGATAGGGAGTGCCTGTTTGTTAGTAAGTGACTTAGTAAATGCCTGTTAGTAAGTGCCTATTTGTTATTAAGTATCTGTCAGAGGATTTGATAATGTCAGGAGATCACACTTTCAAAGATCACAATATATCTACCACATCTGCTAGAAAAATGACAGGATGGAAAATGAGAGCCTTCAAAACCAGGGATGCTAAGCCCATGATATACCTTATACCTTTGAAGAATTTCGAGCCCGGCCATGGGCCAGGCTCGTCTAGTGGTCGCCTGGTCAACCAGGCTGTTGCTCCTGGAGGCCCGCTGCCCCACATATCCATCACAGCCTGGTTGATCTAGCACCTGGTGAAGATACTTCTCTAGTTTCCTCTTGAAGGCTTCAACACTTGTTACAGCAGTGTTTCTGATATCTTCTGGTAAGATGTTGAAAAGTCTGGGACCCTGGATGTTGATACAATGTTCCCTTATTGTCCTCACCGCACCACTGCTCCTCACTGGGTTTATTTTACACTTCCTCCCATATCTCTCACTCCAGTATGTTGATATGGCAGTGTGCAGATTTGGGACCAAGCCCTCGAGTACCTTCCAAGTATATATTATCAAGTACTTCTCTCTCCTTTGCTCCAATGAGTACATGTTCAAGACTTGCAGGCATTCCCAGTAGTTTAGGTGCTTTACTGGCTCAATGTGAGCAGTAAACAATCTCTGTATTTGTTCCAGCTCTGATATTTCTCCTGCACTGAACGGGGCCGTCAGCACTGAGCAATATTCTAAGTGAGGGAGCACTAGCGATTTGAAGAGTGTCACCATTGGAATTGTTTCCCTTGTTTAGAAAGTTCTCAATACCCACCCCGTCATCTTCCTGGCTGTCGTGATCTTTGTCTTGTTATTGTCTTTAAAATAAAGGTCCGCTGACATAATTATTCCTAGGTCTTTTACGTGTTCCTTACGTTCTATTTGGTGCCTCTTGAGTTTTGTATGTAGTGCTCCTTTTGAGTTCTTCATTCTTTCCATACCTAAGCAGCTGGAACTTATCACCATTGAACGTCATGTTTTCCACTGCCTGTTTATGTCTTCCTGTACGTTTTCAGTGTCCTCTACCATACTGACTTTCAAGCTTATTTTAATTATTTATTTATTTATTAACACACTGCCCAATTCCCACCAAGGCAGGGTGGCCCGAAAAAGAAAAACTTTCACCATCATTCACTCCATCACTGCCTTGCCAGAAGGGTGCTTTACACTACAGTTTTTAAACTGCAACATTAACACCCCTCCTTCAGAGTGCAGGCACTGTACTTCCCATCTCCAGGACTCAAGTCCGGTCTGCCGGTTTCCCTGAATCCCTTCATAAATGTTACTTTGCTCACACTCCAACAGCACGTCAAGTATTAAAAACCATTTGTCTCCATTCACTCCTATCAAACACGCTCACGCATGCCCGCTGGAAGTCCAAGCCCCTCGCACACAAAACCTCCTTTACCCCCTCCCTCCAACCTTTCCTAGGCCAACCCCTACCCCACCTTCCTTCCACTACAGACTGATACACTCTTGAAGTCATTCTGTTTCACTCCATTCTCTCTACATGTCCGAACCACCTCAACAACCCTTCCTCAGCCCTCTGGACAACAGTTTTGGCAATCCCGCACCTCCTCCTAACTTCCAAACTACGATTTCTCTGCATTATATTCACACCACACATTGCACTCAGACATGACATTTCCACTGCCTCCAGCCTTCTCCTTGCTGCAACATTCATTACCCATGCCTCACACCCATATAAGAGTGTTGGTAAAACTATACTCTCATACATTCCCCTCTTTGCTTCCAAGGACAAAGTTCTTTGTCTCCACAGACTCCTAAGTGCACTGCTCACCCTTTTCCCCTCATCAATTCTATGATTCACCTCATCTTTCATAGACCCATCTGCTGACACATCCACTCCCAAATATCTGAATACATTCACCTCCTCCATACTCTCTCCCTCCAATCTGATATCCAATCTTTCATCACCTAATCTTTTTATCCTCATAACCTTACTCTTTCCTGTATTCACTTTCAATTTTCTTCTTTTACATACCCTACCAAATTCATCCACCAACCTCTGCAACTTCTCTTCAGAATCACTCAAGAGCACAGTGTCATCAGCAAAGAGCAACTGTGACAACTCACACTTTGTGTGATTCTTTATCTTTTAACTCCACGCCTCTTGCCAAGACCCTCGCATTTACTTCTCTTACAACACCATCTAAAAATATATTGAACAACCAGGGTGACATAAACACTCCTTGCCCTAAGGCCTATTTTTAGGGGAAAAAAAATTCCCTTTTTCCAACATACTCTAACTTGACCTAAACTATCCTCATAAAAACTCTTCACTTTTTTCAGTAACCAAAACTCCTATCCCTTACACCTGCAACATCTCCCACTTTGGGCCCCCCCTATCCACCCTGTTATGTCCCTTTCCCCCAAAATCCATAAATCCCAAAAAAACCCTTTAGCCTTATCTAAATACTGTTCCCCTTTTATGTTTCCCTGAAAACCCACCGGGTTCCACACACCCCCTACCTTTCCAAAAGCCTCCTTGTTCATCGCTACCCCTTTTCCCTCCGTCTTACTTTTTAATTTTTTTCAATAATAACTCTAAAGAGGAGGCAGTTACCTGGGAAATTTCCTGGGGAGAGTTTTTGGGGGGCCCAAAGCCCCCCGGCCCCATCTGGACCGGCCGCCTCAGGGCAGTGTCCCCCGGATGCAACCCACACCCCGTCACTAAACCCAGGTAAACCCCTTTTTCTGATGGGGAACATTTAAAAACAGGGGGAAAGAAAAGGGCCAATGGGTTTTTTTCCCCTGGCTGGGGAAACGAACCCAAAGGGCCCCCACCGGGGGAAGCGGAAAACATTAACCAAAACCCGGGCCCCCAGAGCCCCCTAGGGTTTTGAAGGGTAAGATATTAAAAAACTAAATTTTTGGACAGATGGGGTAAATGAAGCATAGGCCCAAAGGGGTCGAAGAAGGGAAAGGAGTAGGTTTTTAAAAAAGTAGTGTTAGTGTTTTAGCAGAAGTTTGTGGTTACAGGAAGTGGGTGCGGGAGGGAAGAGAAGCGATTGGTGGCATGATGTAAAGAGAGTAGTAAGGGAGAAAAAGTTAGCATATGAGACGTTTTTACTAAGTAGAAGTGATGCAAGGAGGGAGGAGTATATGGAGAAGAAGAGAGAGGTTAAGAGAGTGGTGAATCAATATAAAAAGAGAGCAAATGAGAGAGTGGGTGAGATGTTAACAAATTTTGTTGAAAATAAGAAAAAGTTTTGGAGTGAGATTAACAAGTTAAGGAAGCCTAGAGAACAAATGGATTTGTCAGTTAAAAATAGGAGAGGAGAGTTATTAAATGGAGAGTTAGAGGTATTGGGAAGATGGAGGGAATATTTTGAGGAATTGTTGAATGTTGATGAAGATAGGGAAGCTGTGATTTTGTGTATAGGGCAAGGAGGAATAACATCTTGTAGGAGTGAGGAAGAGCCAGTTGTGAGTGTGGGGGAAGTTCGTGAGGCAGTAGGTAAAATGAAAGGGGGTAATGCAGCTGGGATTGATGGGATAAAGATAGAAATCTTAAAAGTAGGTGGGGATATAGTTTTGGAGTGGTTGGTGCTATTATTTAATAAATGTATGGAAGAGGGTAAGGTACCTAGGGATTGGCAGAGAGCATGCATAGTTCCTTTGTATAAAGGTAAAGGGGACAAAAGAGAGTGCAAAAATTATAGGGGAATAAGTCTGTTGAGTATACCTGGTAAAGTGTATGGTAGAGCTTATTTTAGTGTCATCTACAAATGATGATACAAAAGTGTGCCGGGTGTTTTTGTCTATGTCTGCTATGAGGATGAGGAACAGCAGAGGTGCCAGGACAGTGCCTTGGGGCACTGAGCTTTTGACCTCGCTGATGCTGGATCTTGCCCTGTTCACTACTACTTTTTGTGTTGTGTGTGTTAGGAAACTGAAAATCCATCTGCCTAACTTCCCTGTAATGCCCATGGCCTTCATTTTGTGAGTATCACTCCATGATCGCATTTGTCAAAAACTTTTGCAAAATCTGTGTAAATCACATCTGCGTTTTTGTCGTCTTCCAGTGCCTCCGTAATTCTGTCATAATGGTTCAGCAGCTGTGACAGACATGATCGTCCTGTTCTAAAACCATGCTGGTTCGGGTTATGTTGGTTGTGCTGGTCCATGAAATTTGTAACCTGCCCTCTCATCACTCTTTCAAAGATTTTTATGATGTGAGAGGTTCTCTTCAAATCACTTGCTCTCTTTAGGCTGGAATATTGCTGTACGTTAATGGCCTCTTTCAAGGCAGGCGAAACTGATGATCTGGAGAATGTACAGAGAACATTCACAGCACACACAAGTATGATAAAGCACCTAAATTACTCAGAACAATTCAAGTCCCTTAACTTGCATTCCCTGGAATGCAGGCAAGAAAGATACGTAATAATATACACTTGGAAAAATCCTAGAGGGATTAGTACCAAATTTGCACATGAAAATCACTCTACAAAAGCAAAACACTCAGCATGAGAAGCAACATCCTCCCACGGAAAAGCAGGGGCACCACAAATACGCTAAGAGACAACACAATAAGAGTCAAGACCCTAGACTGTTTAACTGCTTCCCAGCATACATAAAGGGGATCACCAACAGACCCTTGGCTGTCTTCAAGAATGGACTGGACAGGCACCTAAAGTCAGTTCATTACCAGACGGGCAGTGGTTCATACATCGGTTTACATGTGGCCAGCAGTAACAGCATGCCTGATCAGGCCCTGATCCACCACAAGGCCTGGTCATGGACCAGGACAAAGGGGCACTGACCCCCGAAACCCTCTCCAAGTATACTCCAGGTATTAAGTGCCTGTCTGTTAGTGTCTGCCTGTTAGAAGGTGCCTGTCTGATAGTAAGTGCTTGTGTGTAGGTGAAAATGTGTAATATGGGGCATTTTTTAGTTGGAAACCTCATGTATTTAATTTAACAATCTTAGCAAAAATTTATGAAAATTATACTGTATTGTAGCAGTGTGTGAAAGACTAGCAAGCACCAGTATGCACTTACAAACATGGAGAGGTTGGACATGAGGAGAGCTCTCGGCCAGAAGTGAAAAGAAGGCTGAGATTCATCTAGAGAAAATGGCTGTATGATCGTTGCCTCTTGACCAGTAGAATCTCTTGCATACACCTGCCAAGTATACAAACAATTATCCGAGACATAGCACTGCAATGTTTTTAGCACAAGTGAAGGCAGAATGTCAAATTAAGATAGTCAAGACAAGAATGGTGAAGAGAAAGAGGATGAGAATAATGAGAAGAATGATAATGATATCAATGAGAATGAGAAAGCAGGATGCAAACAGCTTATTTCAGGATGATAATAGCTTATTAATATTCAAAATTAATGAAGTTTTAATTTAAGAATAATTTCATTACCTCAAGCATGTGTAATCCCACTAAATATCTATCTGGGTTCCACTTAGCAACATAGAGTGGCCCCTCTACATGGAAGAGGGTGAGCCAGGAGCTGGAATCATCTATTCTCACTCGAGCTGCAACAATGGCTGACAGGGACCACACTAATACCCTGAAAAGTAGAGGTACAATAAATTCTGATATCAAAGGAGTGGCTAACATAGGAAGTATGTATCCAACATATCCTTGCATCTTTTTCTTTACCACTTCTTCTGTAAATCCAAATTATTAGTAAATTTATTTTCTATTTACCGAATCCCTTCTTTCTTAATGCGGATTTGCTATTTGGTGATGTCCTATTTCTATCAGTAATTCTGTATGTGTGATGTACATTTACCCCATTCGAGTGATGCAGTTCGCAGAGCATGTCAAAGATTTTTTATTTTGTGAAGTTGTGTATGATCTGATTAATAATAAGAATAATAATAATTATTTTATTCTAGCATGATACATGTTTGTACAAAGGAGTATAACAATTGGGTGTACATGCCAAAAGCCCCTTTATATGCAGAGCATTTCGGCAAACTTAAGACTAACTTAAGATTAATTAGACAATAACAGTGCAGTAATTGTACATATGGTCATTAGGCGAGTTACAATGAATACAAGAAAACTGACTAGTCTATTAGTTCATGCTATATGGGTTTTTTAATAAGTTTGGTAGAGAAGAATTACAGTTTTGATTATTAACCCTTCCAGGGTCCAGAGGCCAATTTCAAAGTGTGCACAAGGGTCCAAGAATTTAAAAAAAAAAAAAAAAAGTTATTTTTTCTTATGAAATGGTAGAGAATCTTTTTCTGAAGGTGATAAAACAAAAATTACAAAATTTGATGGAAAACTGACGAAATTATGCTCTCACAAATTTTGATGTGTTAGCAACATTTATGCATCAGCGATTTTGCCGACTCTGACTCCCATTTTAGGCCAATTACGTTATTCCAGTTGACCAAATTCTTACCTATTTCACTAGTATTACTTCTATTTTATCAATTGAGAACAAGAAATTGCCAAGTCAACTGTTTCAACTACAAAATAAAGTGATCAGAAACTGGTAATTTGGCCAATTTAACCCTTTCAGGGTTGGTGCCATAATAGTACGGCTCGCACGCCAGGGTTGGTGCCGTACTAGTACACAAATTCTAGCGCCTTCAAATCTAGCGAGAGAAAGCTGGTAGGCCTACACATGAAAGAATGGGTCTATGTGGTCAGTGCACATAGTATTAAAAAATCCTGCAGCACACAGTGCATAATGAGAAAAAAAATCCATGCAGAGTATTTTCGTATGCTATTTATGGTTGCATTCTAGTTTTCTTGGCCTCATTTTATAGAATGGAAAACATATTATGGAAATTGAGATGATTTTGATTGGTTTCACAATGAAAAGTACCTTGAAACTGAGCTCAAAGTAGCAGAAATGTTTGATTTTTGCCAAAGTTCAAAAGTAAACAAATCATGCTTATTTCACAAGTGCGCTGATATTATTTATACCATTTCTACACCATTTCTACATGAATGCAGTGGTCTGCATAACATAAATCTTCTATTTTTTGTGAGAATAAAAATTCAAAGTGGAAAGCAAAAGAAATGTAACAGAGGCCTGGGGACATGAGTAATAAACAGAGGAAATGTTATTTTAGTGCCAGGAATGTATGTCTTGTTTATTTTGGACCCTATTTGGAAATTGGCATCTTTTGAACTTTGTGTGAAATTGGCAAAATTGCCAATTTCTGACCACGTTATTGGATAGTTGAAATCAGTAAATGGGTGGTTTCTTGTACTCATTCAATAGAAAAAATGGAGTTCTAGTGAAATAGGTATGATTTTTGTCGAGTGGTACACTGGAATTGGGAGAAAATAGGGTTCGAAGTGGGCGAAATCGCAGATGCGTAAATATCGTCAAGACCGCTAACTTCGCAAGAGCATAATTTCGTAAGCTTTCCATCAAATTTCATAATTTTGGTGTCATTATGATCAGGAAAAGATTCTCTATCATTTCATAAGAAAAAATAATTATTTTTTTTTTTTTTTAAATTTCCAACCCTGAGAACAAGTTTAGGAGAGGGCCTGCCGACCCTGAAAGGGTTAATGCAAAGTTCAAAATATTCCAATTTCAAAATAGGATCCAGAATAAACAATGAAGGCATTCCTGGCACTACACTAACATTTTCTCTGTTCATTAGTTATGCTTTCAGGCTTTACAAATGAATTCCATTGTGATTTTTTTGTTCACATAATGAATTTTTATTCAAACCAAAAATAGAAGAGTCACTGTTATGCATTATTGCAATAATTGTATAAATAATATCACCAAATCTGTGAACATATATTAGACTCACCAGCTGGTGTGTATTAGACGTGTGAGGTCATTTGTTTACTCTTGAACATAAGCAAAAATTTTACATTTCAAGCCCATTTCCAGTACTAAAACCAATTAAAATCATCTCTATATCTGTAATACATCTTCCAGTCTATCAAATGAGACCAAGAAATCACAAATACAGTGGACCCCAGGTATTCAATGGCATCGGTATTTGATAAATCCGGTATTCGATGCATTTTAACGCAAAAATTTTGCCTCGGTATCCGATTGAAAACCCGGTACTCAATACGATTCGTATGAGATGTGTCCACGTGTGGCCTGAACTACCATGTGTGTGCCAGTGTTTACAAGCCAGCCAGTGTGCGCGCATCTAAGGATACATTCGGTACATTCCATATTATCCATACTATCACAGTTTTTGGTGCTTGTTTCTGCAAAATAAGTCACCTTGGGCCCCAAGAAAGCTTCTAGTGCCAACCCTGTGGTAAAAAGGGTGAGAATTAGTATGGAAATTAAGAAAGATTTTGAAGGGTTTGGGGTTAACCCTGAGAAGCCTATGCCAGTTGTGAAATCCATTGTGCCCACTTCAAAAATTAAGGAAATGTGTGCACAGTGGGTTGAACTGCAAACCTTTATGGATGAAAATCACCCTAACACAGCTATTGCAAGCCATGCTGGTGACTATTACAATGACAATGTTGTGGCCCATTTTAGACAAATTGTAAAGGAACGAGAGGTACAGAGCTCTATGGACAGATTTGTTGTGCGACAGAGGTCCAGTGACTCTCAAGCTGGTCCTAGTGGCATTAAAAGAAGAAGGGAAGTAACCCCGGAAAAGGACTTGCTACCTCAAGTCCTAATGGAAGGGGATTCCCCTTCTAAACACTAACACCATCCACACTCTCCCCTCCTCCCATCCCATCCCATCAATCATCACCAGATCTTCAATAAAGATTAAGTGTCATGTAACTGTGCATGTCTTCTTCAGTTTGTGTGTATTAAAATTAATATTTCATGTGGTAAAAAATTAGTTTTTCATACTTTTGGGTGTCTTGCACGGATTAATTTGATTTCCATTATTTCTTATGAGGAAAACTGATTCGCTTTTCGATATTTTCGGTATTCGATGAGCTCTCAGGAACGGATTAAAATCGAATACTGGGGGTCCACTGTACAACTATAAAAACATCCGAAAAAACACTGCAAAGTCGCTGTTTTTAATCGAAAATTAGTCTCAGTTTTTTTCTCTCATTATGCACTGTGTGCTGCAGGATTTGTTTTATGTGGTGCACACATACCACATAGATGTATTCTCTCATATCTAGGCCCAAATTTACCGCTCACAGCTTATCAGAGTGAGCTGAGCTTACGGCGTAGATCTATGGTTTGGACCCTCAACTCAAAGCCGTAGAACTATGGCATGGACCCTGAAAGGGTTAACCTATGGTGGACACAATGGAATGATTAACATTTGATAGGATTACAGATACTGAGAGTAGGTATATATTGATTATGTTTGCACTACATTCATGATATTGAGCAAATGCAGATATAGTTTTTACATAATTATTTATGAGGGGCTGGGATAGGTTAAGGAGATAAGGTGTTTTCTAACTGTAGTTTTAAAAATGCTAGCTGAGCCAGTGGTTCTGGAGATTTCTGGCAGAGAGTTTTTGAAAAGATTTAGCCTGACATGGGGAATATCAGAGATTTTTGTGCCTAGTATTGTGTCCATGGGTCCTATTGTAACTGTCAAGAAAACACTTCAGGTTGGGATTTATACTAGAATTGAATGTTCTCTAAATATAGGTGGCACATTAGTACGAATGAATGTTTAGTATAGTGAGTAGGTTCAGGTGTTTGAAAAGTGGAGTGGGGTGGGGTGGGAGGATTGTTGTCTAGCTGTAGACTTTGTGATCATTCGCACTGCAACTTTTTGTTGGGCTATTATTAGTTTTAGGTGATCTGTCATTGTGAAAGCCCAGGCACAAATAGCATAGTTGAGGTAGGGGTAGATCAGTGAACGATATAGTTTAAGTAGTTCTGTTTGTGGTACATAGTAATGAATCTTTGAGTGGATGCCAACTGTTTTAGATACTTTTCTTGTTATGTGTTGGATATGGGTGTTGAATTTCAGGTTGCTGTCAAGGTGAAGACCCAGGAATTTCCCTCATTATGTTTAGCAAATTATTATTATTATTATTATTATAATCAAAAAGAAGCGCTAAGCCACAAGGGCTATACAGCGCTGCAGGGCAGGAAGGAAGCGAGGGCATCAGGTGGCAAAAGGGAGATGGATGAGTAATAGGTTGTGTGTGTGCACGCATGTGTGTGTGTGTGTGTGTGTGTGTGTGTTTGCATGTTTGTGTGTGTGTGCACGTGTGTGTGTGTGCCACGTGTGTGTTTGTGTGTGTGTGTGTGTGTGTGTGTGTGTGTTGTGTGTGTGTGTGTGTGTTGTGTGTGTGTGTGGTGTGTGTGTGTATGTGTGTATGTGTGTGTATGTGTGTATGTGTGTGTATGTGTATGTGTGTGTATGTGTGTGTGTGTGTGTATATATATGTGTGTTCGTGAGTGTGGGGGAGGTGTGAGGGGAAGATACTGCTAATACATACCAGTAATTCTGGGTTATAAAAAGTGGAACTTGCTACTAGGGTCTAAAGCTTCTATGAGTGTCTACCCTTGTGTTTGTGTGTGTGTGAGGGAGGGATGGTTAGGGGGGGGTAAGTGGTGTGGTTGAAAGATCCGTTATACCTCTCTGTCGTGTAGGCTCAAATTTAGTCTCAGCTATATGT